TAAGCAGACCATGGCTTGAAACTGAACAGAATGAAGTATCGTGTTCCTATTATGTCACATACTACAGTAAAGTTGGCCATGTAGGGCAATAACAGTGATGCTTTTATCAAGGGAATAACAACTATGAAGCTACAAGTCATCAAAATGCATCAATACAATGCTGTGAGGCTGCAGTTTTGTCAAAATGACTCCATCAGAAAAGTGGCCTATAGTTATATTGGCTTCAAAACTAGATGAAGCCAACAAAGAACTGATTTTCAAAATGCAGTTAGTCATATAAAGCTTTCACTGGTGATCTTCAGCTTTTAGAAAGGTGTGGTGGATCTCAGTGTGCCAAGGTATTCGTCTGATAAAGCTTGTGCAAGGTTTGTGAAATTAATTGCTGACCACGTGAGTGGGGTTTTGATATTCAATGCAGCATATTTTTTTCTGGACTATGTGATGGTAGTACAGATGTTTCTTCATTGGAGGAAGAAATTGTGTGTGTGACACTTGAAAGATTATAAACCTCACACTGTATTTTTATGTGTGTGCAATGTAGAAAAATGTGGTGCAGACCACATTTGTGCACCAGTTTGAAAAAATATTTACAAGTGGATGATTTTTCAGGTCTAGTCTCATATGTGGCTGATGGAGTTGCTGTGAATTTTGAAGGTTGAAATGGAGTGTATCAAAAATTTGTCAAGTTTCTACCAGAGACTTTTGGTATCCATTGTATGGCATACAGATTTGAACTATTATTGAAAGATGCATAAAAAAAAGTCAAGACTGGTTCCACAAATGTCTGAGTTATTGCAGGCTATATAAAAATTTTTAGCAGTAGAAAAAGCTTCACTTAAAAATTCATGTGAGACATTAAACAGCAAGTTTTTATCTCCAGGAAATGTTTATGGAACAAAGTGGATTAGTCACTGAGCATTAGCATTAAGTACAGTGATTAAATGTGACAACCACTAGTGATACATTCAGACCAAATCATTTAAAAAACCAGAAGTAAACGTGCAGAAATTTATGGCAAAGCACCTAAATTAAGGAAAGAACTTACACTAGTAAAATCAGTATTGGCAGTATTTGTATTAAAAGACATTTTTGATTTGCTGATGTATATCAGCTTGGCACTGCAAAAGACTTATATCATGGCATACATCCCATCTAAGATCAAGGCAACACTGAAAACACTAAAGTGTTTCAATGTGAAGGAAAAAGTGAAATCAAACATAGACACTGCAAGGATTGATCTTACAAACGTAGATTTCCATGGAGAGACTTTGTCACTAGAAAGAGGGAAAAAAGTTGAAAACACAATTGATATTTTGTTTAAAGATGGGAACTTCTTTTTTTTTTTGTCAGGAGCAACTTATTCTATTCAATTAAGGTTCAAAGATGTGCTTAAAAATGTGAAGAAAATGTGTGTCAGAATGCTCAGATTTTCAAAGTGAAATCTTGGCCTAAAGATAAAAAAGCTTTAGATAACTTTGGTCAAAATGAAGTTGAAGCCCTGGCAAAGCATTTCAACAAAACCATGGAGCAAAAAGTGAAGAAAATGTGTGTCAGAATGCTCAGATTTTCAAAGTGAAATCTTGGCCTAAAGATAAAAAAACTTTAGATAACTTTGGTCAAAATGAAGTTGAAGCCCTGGCAAAGCATTTCAACAAAACCATGGAGCAAAAAGGATTTCCTGCAATTATGTTTTTCAAGAGAAATCATTAAATGTGAAGGAAAGTGAACAAAAAAAGTTACTTTTCCACAAGGTAAATTACCTTATCGAACATTTCACTCCCTGCTGAATTATTTTATTCCATTTGAACTGACACTTTTATAAACATACAAAATTAATTACCTGTACAGTAATCAGATGTCATGCAACTATGATGTGAATAGAACATCAATAGACAAATTTTACTGGTGTCAAATGTTGGCACCAAAAAATCACCAAGTGCTTGATTTTGTCTCCAACAAAAGTAAAAAAAGTGTAAAATGTGATTTTGGTGAAGTCCAGAGCAGCCCCTATATTTCAAATCTTTTTTTTTCTCTATACGACTTACATTTAACTTGGTATTATGCTATTGTCGTAATGTCAGCACACACGGTTGAACTTTTTCCAGGCTGTACTGAATTAGCCAAGAACTAAAAGTTGAAGTTTATACAACCATTAAACTCGTGTTATTCAGATACATTTACACACTGGGTAAGGATACAAGGAAATATAATTTCATATTTCACAAACAGACGTGTCAAGTTTTAATAATCCAGACAAAGAAAATAGCTTTCCAACTAACCTAGCACTTTTATGTTTTCTACACTTTATTTATATATTTGTTAGGTTTTTACTTTGAAGTATTAATATCTAATATCTGTCTAGTTCAATTTTAATAAACTTTGTATGTAATATCTCATTTGTTATTGATTTTTTAAAAACTTTCTTTCATGGATATTTATCAAAATCTTTAATATTTAAAATTTCATCAGATTTTACTGGTGGGTTACAATAGAATATATAGATTTGAAAATATTTAGTTGAATTAAATGAACTGTGCCAGCAGCTAATCATTTCACATTGTGTATATTACAATATCTAAAATAATATTAATTCCAATGTTATGTTGATTTTTGAATCATGTCTGCCTAACGTAGCAACTCAATAAATCATCCAGCAAGAATTACATCATGCAACAGCAGCCCACATTTGTTCCTCGAGAAGATTTTTTTTTTCATTTCAGTTTTATTATTTAATTGGATAAGTTTCTAATTTTTACATTGTTGTTACTTTTGTTAAAAAATACAAGAAATAAAATATACACAAAAAAAAATAAGAAATTTATGCACTTTAGCCTTGAGGCCTTTTGGGTTTGGGTACATGGTTCAGTAAGCCTTTTCAGTTTCTCACTGTGTTAGTTATTCAAAAATAATTCATGTGGCTTTCAAGTATGCATCTTAGAACACAAAACGTATTTCAGACTCTAGAATAGAATGTTTCAAAACTTCTGTAATTTTTCTGGATTTGTAACTAACATATAAATAGGTTAAGAAAATTCCATTACTGCTTGGAAAAATTTCTTTAGCCTAAATGCTTCAAGCTCTCTCCTCAGACTGTTGGTTTTGACAATTAAAAGAAAACAGATAATCATCTGATTTATGTAGTTTACAGTATTCTCTTTTTTTTTGTTGATTATGAACATGCCCAGAAGCAATCTCACAGAGAATTATAGACACTTCTCTAAAGACAGAGGATAAGGAAGGGGTGTGTCAATGTGTGTTGAACAAATATAGTGTTATCTCAGTAAAACAGGAAGCTAAGAGATTGGAATTTTATAATCTAGCTTCTCAGAGTAGTGTGTGTTTCTAATTGATTAAACAACCTAAAGCCCTTATAAGAGAAGAGAAAAAATTTATAACTGATAGTCAGAGCACAACCTTGTCATCTGATTCAGAGGTGCAGATTGAGAATTTATTTAAACATTTCCTTTTGAAATTAAAAATCAGATAATATAAAAATTTTAATTATGAGTTACTTTTTGATGCTGAGTATATTAATGTACATTGATAATAAAGTAGTTTAATTGAATTTCGAACATAAGTCATAAAAATATAGTGACATGCACATTTTGACCCTCCCATGTCCAAAGAGTTAAGATGAAAACCTTGAATTTATAAAAAATAATAATCAGAAAATATAATGGCAATATTTTTATTAGTTGTTTATTTTCATGACATTAATTGATTTAATCATATTTTAATTAGCTTATTATTTTAGTTATCACCATTTGATGTTTATAGGTAATATATTAAGATAATCACCCAACCCTAATTATGTGTGCTATTTACATTGAATTGAACTGAGTGTAACAATATCAACAAGAGTATTTTATGGTTTTTGGAGTTCTTTTCATATTCCATGCATGTGCTATCATCTACTCACATGAGGGTGCAACTTTTTCATCATGTATGATGTCAAATGTCATTAAAACATTTAACACTTATTTTATACTTTGCACTAGAAATTCACTTAGAATATTTTGAATAGTATTTCACATGGAAATTTATTAGAAAAAAATTAACTTAAAATTTCTTTTGCATTTTCAAGAAGTGTAAGTAACTTGCCAGATACCAACTGCTATTTCACTCTCCTGCTAGAATAATGACAGAAGCTTAAATTAATCTGGATCTATGAAATGTATTAGTTACAATCTATTTTTGTACTTCACTTTTATACTTTTTTGATATGTGTGACTGGATTAAAATAATATTTAAAGGAAGTCATTTTACTGTTTAGCAACCGATTTTAATTTTCATGTGCATACTACCATTCTTTGCTCACTTTATATTACCCTTAGAGGGTCTTCCATATATAGTGATCAAGTATTTTTATGTTTTCTTCACTTCACTTATAATTGTGTTTGGGGCTTTTACACTGAAATGATATTATCAAAGACCTAACTTCACTTTTTAAAAACTTTGTATATAATATCTCATTCACTACTTAATTTTTTTCTTAACATTCCCACATGGATGAAAGACTAAAAGTTTTTTTTAAATTTTGTCAGCATCTATCAAATTTGATGAATACATTGCCAAATGCTGGCTGTTATTTTTAACTTTATATTTGGTGAAATTTAGTTATTGCTTGCTTTCTTTTACTTTTTTTTTTGAAAAAAATTGTGTTTCAGAGAGGTTCTTGTGGGAACACTATCTGCTGTTACTTTTGAAAAATTACCAAATTTGACTCAAAAAGAGTGCAAAAGCAAATGAGAGTACAGAGTTTTTTGTAGTCAGTTTGAAATCATGCAAAGTAAAAGTACTACAACACTTTCAAGGGACAGAAAATAATTACAGAATATAGATGTTAATATAAGACTTCAAGTTGTGTCTTATATCCAACTGTATACCAAATTGCTAAACCTCCAGAGGGCATAGAGAAATATTCAATTATTGGTTAATATATGTGTGAAATATTTCCACTAAAATCTGGATCATTCTTAGTGTGTGTTTCTTCTTTGTAGTCATACACAGTTGAAGTAAAGAATGACTTGTCACCTTCAAATAGTGGAAGTCTTTCTGTAAATGGAAACTTTTCAAATCCCAGTTGTAATGATCATTGGCCAATCCCTCCTAAACCAACTGAAAGAGCCTTGGGTTTGTTCCAGACTTTAAGGAAGTATACTTCTCATCGAAGGAGCTGTGATGTTAACCTGCCTGACTTCTATGACCGGATGCCTGTTCATTATGCCTCAGAGCTGGGAAATCCTGAAGTTTTAGCAATGCTTCTTAAAGCAGGTAGGTTCTTAATGTTGTTTTTTATGTACAAGTGTTTTTATTATTGTTTCTCAAATCTTTACTAGATGTTTCACATTATATTTGTTAGATATCTCTCAAAATAAAAAAACTCTCAGGGGTTTGGCAGTTATTTAAAGTGTGGTTTCTGACATAATAACTTAACACTTCTCACATATTAGCTTTCCTCAATTTTGTGCTGCTATCTTTATGTGCAATTTTTTCTCACCACTAGCCTTGAGGCTCCCACTTACCCTCATATATGTTAATGTGATATATCTACTTACTAACACGCAAATGATTATGTAGCAACCCTCTTCTAATCTTACAGTTGGCAGTCTTATGGAATAGACATGTTTTTGCTCATGGTTTCATTTACTTATCCACAAGTTTTTACTTTCTTAATTTTTCAACATCATTTACATTATTATTTACCCTTTTTGTTCTCTTTCATGGAGAGTTATGGATTATTTTATTTGACTTCTCTGTCAATTTTGAGAGTTATGCACTCACAGTTTCAGGTGGTCATGACTACAACTGCTGTTACTGCTGCAGTGGAATTACCGACCATGTCCAACAGGTTGGAACCACGATTCTCAGCCCATGAAGTGATGGCTTTGGTTATTCCTGTTATACCTACTCAGGGTTTCACTGATTGGGAAGAAGTGAATTTGAACAGTCTTTTTCCCCCTCCTGAATATGCCTCTCAGTCGCATGTCATTTGGGGGATTTGCCCAGACCTCGTACTTCTTTTATGTTATTGGTTATTCAGATATGTTATGTTATGTCCTCATCTCCCATTTTCTGTGGTTCCAACCCTGTCCTTCTTGAGGATGAGAATTTGAGTCATTATTTGGTGTTTCCTCCTTTTCTGGATATTGGGGCTCATGTGAGTCATTTTGGTGAGTCCTTCGTTAGACTTTCACTTCAGGTCGAGGGGTTATCTCCACACCTCCATCTCCCCTGCATCCAGACAGTATCTTCACTTTGTTCTTCATGGGTGTGTGTTTCTGTTTCGGGCACCTCTGTTTGGACTTTTCTCTGCTCCTTATGTATTCTTTCAAGTGGTCTGGGCTTTTGCCCACCTGATTCATTCCAGAGGCCTTCATTTTCACCATTATATGGATGTCTGCTTCTTGCCTCCTCACAAGATGACTCAGTTTTATATCGTCAGTTTCTTCTACAAGACACTGTCATGGTGGGTTGGCTTGTGAAAGTCGAGCAGTTTTTCCTCCCACCCATACATTTTTTGGTTCATCTTGTGGTGTGTTTCAACTCCCTATTTTGTTCGACCCTATTTGCTCCACTTTAGTTGTGAGCTATGGAATGTCACATATGCAGCATCTCATTCTCTTCTTCTCCTGCTGTACGAGAAGTTCTCTCTCTTTTGGGGACATGGATTTCTGTCAATGCCCTCATTCCTCTTGCTCGTGCCCTCATGCATCATTGTCAGTAGGTTTTGGTAGACCACTGGAGCCTTGTTTGGGATCTCTTAGATGCTCCTCTTACCCTTCCCTCTCCCTTACAGATCTACTTCGACTGGTGGTTAGATTGGAACAATATGGATGCTTCTTTTCCAGTTGGGGGTATTTCTGGGTAAGGGTCTCTTTCAGAATTCTCTCTACATATCAATCTCGTGGAACCTCATGCTGTTCATTTGGCTTTACTTCACTTCCTGTGAGTTTCTAGGGGCCGGTTATTGATGGTTCACTCTAATGTTTCTATGGTTTCTATATACATCACTGGGAAAGAACTCTTGGTTGAGAGATCTCTGTTTTCAAACATTCAAACATTAGATCTTCTGTGTTGGGCCTACTGTTGTCCCATCAATTTGTTGGTATGTCCTAATCTGGGTGCTCTGAATTTGGTTGCAAGTTGGTTATCCTGTCCTGACACGATTCTCCCTTTCAGTGTGGTTTTTGGATCTACCCATTTTTTGTATGCTCTGTGTGGTGTCCCAGATTTGGATGCTCTTGCCACTCTTCTCAATATACCACTTACTTGATTTTGGTCTCCTGTTCCTCATCCTTTGGCAGGAGCAGTTGATACTCTCCGTCGGGATTGGTACCTGTATGCATATTCTTCTATTCATCTCCTCCCACGTGTCCTTGCCATACCTCAGACCACTCCATGTACTGTTCTGCTGTTGGTTACATATTGGCTGATTCTCATGGTTTTACACTGCTGTGCTGGTTTTTGGTGTCGCCTCCCTTTCTTTATCTCTGACACTCCTCCATCAGCCACACTCCAGGGTGCATCATCCGTCCATACCTACACTCCATCTTCACACGTTGTTTTGTTGGGACCCTCACCAGAAGGGTCTGATTTTGACGTGTAGCTTTCTTCGCTATCTGTCCTGTTCATTCTTCCTTCATGGTGGTGTACCTGTGTACATGGTACATGTACTGGTTTTGTCTGTTGTAAGAGGTTATCATCCTATCCATCCTTTGGTTCCTCATATACTGTCTTTTTTTGCCTGAATGTTTTGAACAGGGCCTTTCGGTTTCCTCTGATGTGGACTATAGGGTAGCGTTATCTGCCACTTTTCAGTTTAATGATTTTTCATGTGTTTTATAGTTACCAGTCTTATCCATGTTGTTTCATTCCTTCTGTTTTTCTCATCCTCTCCATCCTGCTTTCCTTCCTGATTAGCACCTCTATGTGGTCCTTCTTTGGGCCTTTTGTCTTCATGTTCTTTAAATCACCTGTTGTCATTCTGATGTGCTTGCTGCATTTTTGTTTTCTTAGTTCCTATGTTCTCCTCTTTTCCTGATTGTTCCTTTATGCTCCAGACTTTGGCTGCTTGAGAGGGTACTTCTCCTTTTGCACCATTTTCTCTTCCTTCCATTTCCCACCTTTATGACCTTGGGCACATGCGGAGGTGGATTCTTGTTACAGAAGCTTCTCTTCCATGTTGGTACCCATTTTTGAGGTGAAAGGTAGGACTCCTTTCCTATCTTGGACCAGTTGTACAATTCTAGATCCTGTCCGGTGTTGGTTGAGGTCAAACTCCTATTTATGGTCTGTTGCATCCTAGCCACTCTACACCAGGGAGTCTCATTATTTCTGTAATTTTTCCTGGGGTCCCTCCACATTTCTGCCCTTTTGGATGACACATTACTAAAGGGCAAAGAGTATACCTGGCTCAGAAGTGGTGTGGTCTCCCATGGGTATGTTTATTTTAATTCTTTCTCATATCCCATGGTTTTTCCTTTCGGCACTTTCTAAAGGGAGATCATCTTCTCACTGACCCCTCTTCAGTTCAGTGTTGGATTCTAGCTTTCTATGAGCAGATATAAGATATCGTATCTGAAGTTAACATTTTCCTAAACTGAAAATGTATTTCCAATAAATACCTCTGTTCACATTTCCTATATGCTCTCCCAACTTCTGGTGTGGTTTGGTGTGACCTGACTAAGCTTGAAGTGGATAACAGCTGCAAGATTAGATAGGGCACTAGTTCCAATAGAGGTAGTGTCACTCTCCTATTAGTGGAGGGTTGCTGCATAATAATTTGCATGTTAGTATGCAGAGATAAGTGAGAGTATCAAGGCTAATGGCCAGCAAATATTTTCACCAATTTAGGGCAGTATAAGTCGAGAAAGTTTTTTGTGACAGGAGGTAAGTATCTATGAGAAATATCTTTTCAGTTTAGGAAAATCATAACTTTGGGTTCCTGTGCAGTCATATTTACAGCAATCAAGATGAAAATGGGACAAATATAAATTTTCATGTACCCAACACTGACTTATAAAAAAAAAGTTGGATTTGTCCACTTTGAGTGTCTTTTTTTTTTGTGGGGTCAGAGCTCACAAAAAGGCATAGTTGAGGGTTTTTTGGTCAATTACTCAGCTATATTTTGACCTATGTTCATGGTATTTGGTACAAAGCTACTTTTTTAAGGTCTCACACATTGACAAATAAAATGGTAGTTATAGGGGGGTCAAGATGCCACAAAAAGCACAATTTTAGGGTTTTTTGACAATTACTCTGCCATATTTTGGCCAGTTTACGTGGGATTTGGTTCAAAGATATTTTTATACATACATACAAAATTCTGGGATATGCCCATTTTTGGTCATTTTAGGGGAGAGGGGTCAAAAGGTTAGATAAATCCATAATTTTAGGACTGGAAAATCACTTAGCTTTATTTTGACCAACTTGCATGTAATTTAGTACAAAGATACTCTTTGTAGGTTCCAAACAGAAAATTTGAAATTTTTATCTTTTGCTTAATTATTCAGCAAAGAAAGTACAATTTGGGGTTTTTGTGAAATATTCATGTGTATGTCAACCAACTTACATGGGATTTAGTACAAAGATACCTTCTTGCAGATCCCATGCACAGTGATAAAGACCGTTTTTGATTTTTTTGTTTTTCATGATTTTCTGGTGTCAAAATTGGCCATGTTGGGGTTGCATGGCAGAAATATGTTACATTTGCTTGCGAACTTTGGCTTCTTTAAATATAAGGAAGATTTTCTATTTCTAATTGTAATAGATGTATCACTTTCTTATTATCAAAGATCAAGTGTTCAAAAAATACTTAATTACAATCATAACTTTTTATTGAGTCAAATAAAACAGTTTAAACTGGGATAAGAGTAGTTTATATAAGCCTACTCTGGGGCTAAAGCTGTATGTTTTATAGCAAATAAGGAAAGGTAAAAATTACTCAATAATGAACAGGTGACTTTAAATGATTCTAACTCAGAATAAGGTATCATTCACTGTGAATAAAGATATATTGTTGGGTTTAACAAATAGAAATATACATAATTAGTATACAGATGTCTTAAATTCTTTTTTTTCAAACAAAGAAATGAAAATATATATCAAATTTTATATAAATATGATGTTCTTTTTTTTGTTGTAGCTAACTCAAGGAAACAAAATGTAGTATGTCTTGCATTGTTTTGTCTTAGCCAATAAGTAGTTGTCTATATTAAATAATGTGCAGATGGCTTACATTATTTTATTTAAGCTAGCAAGTGAAAATATAT